CCTTGCCTGGGCACTCAGTGAGACTATCTCAAAAATCAAAGTAAAAGGCGGGCTGGCATGTAGTTAGTAGTAGAGGGCCTACTATCATGTGTGAGGCCCTAGATTTCATTCCTACAACCAAACAACAATAACAACAAAAGAAGTGAAACCATTCTTGTTTGCAGAGAACAAGTTTACAAGTTAAAACAATGACAAAAAACAACCAGGCATGGTGGCCCATACCTTTAATCCCAGCACTCTGAAGACAGAGGCAGGAGAACCTCTGTGAGTTCAAGGTCAGCCTGGTCCACATACGGAATTCCAGGACAAGGCTATGTAGAGAGACTCTGTCTCAGAAAAAAAAAAAAAATAAATAAATAAATAAATACCCCAAAGCAGTGGTTTTCAACTCATGAGTTGGGATCCCTTTGGAAGTTGAACAACTTTTTCACAGGGGTTGCATATTAGATATCTGCATATTAGACATTTAAATTACAATTCATGACAGTAGCAAAATTACAGTTATACAGTAACAACAAAAATAATGTTATGGTTGGGGTCACAACATGAGGAACTGTATTAAAGAGCGCAGCATCAGGGAGGCTGAGAACCACTGCACTAAAGACTATTAACAAAGAAATCATTAGACCTAAATAAAAATTTAATCCGGTAAAATTTCAGGATGATAAATCTAAATACAAAATCAGTAGCCTTTTATAGCCAACAGCGAACTATGTAAATAGGAAAAATAAGAAAACATCCCTCATATACAACTACAAAAAGACTATTTATGAATTAATTTAATCAAAGTAGTGAAGATTTTAGCACTGAAAACTATAAAACAATCAAAAATGGAATTGAAGACATAGTAAACAGATATCCCGTGCTCATGGAGTAGAATTAATAATCTTAAAAATGTCTTACTCAAACTGATCTGCAAGGTCAGTCCAATCCCTATGAAAATACCAATGACATTCATCACAAAAATAGAAAGAAAAACCCTAAAATGTGTATAGAATCCAAAAAACTCCCGAAGAGCCACAGCAATCTTGAACAAAAAGAATAAAAACAGAGATTTTCACACCACCTGACTTCAAAATCTACAAAGAGTGGCCAAACAGCAGGGCCTGGCATAAATATAGACACAGAGCAGAGAGGATGAAAAGCCCAGAAATACACCACACATTTTCTGTCAAGTGATTTTGAAAAGGGTGCAAAAAGTTCAGAAAAGGAAGACAGTCCCTTCAATGAAGTGTTGGGAAAACTGGATGTTTGTATAAAGAATTAAACCAGAGGCTTATGTCTCACTGTATTTAAAAAAAAAAAAAACAATTCAAAATGGGCTGGAGACTTAATATTTAAGACCAGAAACTATGAAAGTCCTAGAAGAAACAGACAGAAGAACTCCATGACATTGGTCTGGGCAATGATATTTCTGGAAATGACTTCAAAAACACGGGGCTCGGAATGAAGCCACAAATCCTTTGTGTGTGTGGCTGTCTGCTTTCTTGAGCCCTTTTCTGTCTATAAACACTCTTGTGCTCAGCTCATCAGAACATTTCTTTCCTAGCTGTCCAATTGTAGGATCTAAAATAAGCCCAATCTGGAACTGTAAACAACTGTAATGCTGTCCTTTAGCAGGGTTCACCACCCAAGGTTCTGAAGCAATGCAGCAATGATGGAGATGAAAAAGGTGCTGCAGGATTACACTGCCCCTATTCTTTACACTCAAGGAGAGTTACTCTATTCTTGCCACCAGAACTATAAACACTGGGTTTTAAACTTTCTGCACAGTGGGCAGCACTGAAAGAAGTGGGTAACTACAATTACTGAGGCCCAAAGGTGCTGATCCGCCATGGGGAGTTCACTACCTCTAGGGCAGCAGTGTCAGCTGCTGCCACACCTGCTCCCTTACCCTCAATTTGCCTTTGAGGGAAACTTTGTCTAAATCCTACAAGGAGACCCATGGGGCTGGGGATGTGGCTGAGAGGGCAAGTGTGAAGACTTGAGTTCAAATTCCAAGAACTCTTGTTAATCTGGAGGTGGTAGTCTCTATGTGTAGTCCCAGTGCGCCTACAGGAAGACAGGCAGAGACAGGGGAATCCCTGGAAATCAAAGGTCTAACGAGCTGGAAGAATGCAGCATTGAACAAGAGACCGGTCTCCAACAAGGTGGGAGTTGAAGACTGACACACAAGGTCGTCTTCTTATCTTCCCACTTATTCCAGTCACACACACACCCCCCAACACACACACACACACACACACACACACACACACACACACACACACACACACACACACACACAGAGAATAAAGACAACTAAGATCCTCAACTGAACTTGTTTTCCTATCCTTTACTACCATGCAGTCTAATGCTGCTGTGTTGCCGGGTGGTGGTGGCTCACGCCTTTAATCCCCAGCACTCGGGAGAGAGAGCAAGGTGAGTTCGAGGCCAGCCTGGTCTACAGAGCAAGATCCAAGTTAGGCACCAAAACTATATGGAGAAACCCTGTCTCTGAAAAACAAAAATAAATAAATAAGTAAGTAAGTAAGTAAGTAAGTAAATGCTGCTGTGGAGACTACTTGCTGGGCTTCTTTTTCACAGCTATCACAGTAATGCAGTTGGTACTTCTTGTCTAGGAGGAAATCACTTGAATAGTTACTTTGCCTTCTGTAAGCTTAGGCTGCAATTATAGTAAAGCATTGTCATCGGACTGTTTATGAGCCAGAAGTTTTGAGGAACTCTTCAGAGTGACTTTCAGTCAACCCCATGTAATGTCAGCAGAGAAAATGGGCAGAGTGATTCTGAAAAGGTAATGGGTGTTACCAGCACCTTCAAGACAGAGCTCAGTCACTGAAACCAGTAAGGAGTGATCCTGTGTCAAGTCCAGAATTGGACACACATGCTAGGAAACCAGTTCTATTAGTTCAGTCAAGCTTTTGAGGGACAATTGTTCACTTATAAGGAACAATTAATTCCAACTTGCTGAGAAACAAGATAGCTAAGCAAACACAAGTGCAGGTAACGAAAACGTTACCTTTTCTAATGAGGGCACTTTGGGAAACGCAACCAATAGCGGATGGCTAATTGCAATCACCCCATTAGAAACGTCTCATGCTCCTTCCTACAGCAGGGACTTTGCCATCCTGGCTATGTGCAGCCTCCCTGGCCCTGCTCCTCTCCAACTCCTCTATGCACAACCTTTGCAACTCTCAGTCCCTAGGATGGAGGAAAAGGACAGCAGTCCCCTACTGTCTTTTCAAAATGATTGGTCCTTGAATAAATCTCATTCCTTCCTACCAATACCGTTACTTACCCTAGCCTACAGCTATACAACTCTAATTTGACATTTAATTCTGGAAATACTAACCAGAGAGGCAAATGGGTTGGACTTAGCACTGGAACGCTGAGGCAGGAGGATCTCGGGTTCCAGGACAAATAGGCCAATACAGCAACAAACGCAGGTACCAGTCCTGAGTTTCCCTGCTTACAATACACAGTTTGAACTGTCGTTTCTTTACACTATCAAGACCAGTTACTGCCAATGTTTTCAATTTTGTTAAGCTGGAAGGTGGTGTTGTATGCCTTCACTCAGGAGGCAGAGGTAGGCGGATCTCTGTGAGTTCGAGGCCAGCCCGGTCTCCAGATCCAGGAAAGGCACCAAAACTACACAGAGAAACCCCGTCTCAAAACAACAACAACAAAAAAAGTTTAATTATTTTTTTTTTACAAATACATGTGGTTTGCCTCCATGTGTATCTGGATACCACATATGTGCAGGGCCCACAGAAATCAGAAGAGGGCATCAGATCCCCATGGACCTGGTGTTACAGATGGTTATGAACCACCATATGGGTGCTAGAAATAGAACCTCTGGAAAGGCAGGTGATGCTCTTAACTGCTGAGCCACCTGTCCAGTCCCACTGCCCATGTTTTAAATTCACCATGACCAATACATTTTGATTTCCAAAATGACTACCTACATTAAAGATGGAGAGTCCCAGTGAGATGAATTTTAAGATGATATAGTTGTTGCAGGAGAACTAGGCCAAAGCCACAGGGTTTGGGGTTGCTACTTGGCTTAAATCAAGGCCATTCAATCCCAGAGCATTCTCATCTCTCACTTGTGCTGAAACTTCTGCAACTACTTCTCAAGTTTTGACCCTTTCTTGGTAATATGCTTACAGAACATGTGAGTTTATCTGAACTATTTCCACCCATTACTATGGTTAATTTCAGATATTCACAAAAATGTTTGTTGTTCTTATTCACATATATTTGATTAAATTTATCCAGTGCCACTGTTTCTAAAATGACTTAATTAGGTACAATATAACTATGTGAATATCTCAATCATAACAGGCATAGCAGCACACACCTTTAATCCCAGCACTCAGGAGACAAAGGCAGGCAAATCTCTGCGTTCCAGATCAGCCTGGTTAAAAGAGTGAGTTCCAGATAAGGCAAGGCTACACAGAGAAACCCTATCTCGAAAAAACCAGAAAACAACAAAAAACCCGTATGAGAGAACAAAGCTACTCTGGGGCGCAGTCGCAGTGAAGCTCCCATCACTGCCATCTTGCTATCACTGAACATGCTTCAACCTTTCCCCGTGACTTGCTATTTGGAGCTTTTTTTCTGAGAAGTGCTCTCATTTAATTAAGACCTTTCTTTGATACTTAGACAAATAACAAGTAATAAAAATCAATGTACCAGTTGTTAAGTAGAAAATTTCAATTTTGCAACCTTCTTCTCACATTTCACTAACAGAAATTCATGGCAAGTAACATTTTGAGATGCCCAGGGTACAGAGGACATGCATAGACTTGTACCTACTAAATGCTTTAAAATGTATATTTGAAAATCAATTCTACCACTGCAATAATGGTTATACAGAAGTACCAAGATCTAAGTGCTAGCCAGGAGATTCTAGAACAGGATTTAAGTGCACAAGGCAATAATAAACTAAAGAGAAAAAGGTCATATGACTGGAAAGACTGGCAGGTTCTTTTACTTACCTTAATACTAAAATTTCTTTGTGTTGGTTCAGTGCTATGGATCAAAAGCAGGACCTTGTGCAGACCAGGCAAGCATTCTAGCACTGAGCTCTCCCCCAGCCCTTTGAAATGTTAATTTTAACTGAAAAAATAAATTAGAAGAGTTTACTTAAATAGGTAGATAAATTTTAAAAAACTCTAAATCGTGTATGATAGCAGATCCCTGTAATCCCAGCACTAAGAAGGCCAATGCCAGAGGCTTGTGAGTTCAAAGCCAGACTGAGTTACAAATCCAGACCTGTCTCAAAAAAATCAGAAAGCCCAGCTGGGGATACAGCTCAGTTGGTAGAGTGCTTGTCTATCATGCATGAGGCCTTGAATTCATCTCCTAGAAACAAGAGTGGAACAGAAATTCCAGAAATTATTGATAAGTTTTGTTTGGGGGCTTTAGTATTGTTTGTTTTGTTTGTTTTGTTTTTTGTTATTGTTTTGTTTTTTTCTGGTTTATGTTTTAGTACTGGACACTGAACTCAGGGCCTATCTCTGAACTCTACCACCAGCCATCAATTTATAAATATTAAATTATCAACAAAATATCTTGAACAACTTGGCTAAGAGTCAAGTTTTCAATATTTATTTTTCTTCCCTGAAACGCCCTTAAAATGACAGAGGAGGCACTGTAGAACACAACAGTGCTCCCAGGACTCAGGAAGTAGAGGCTGGACATCTAGATTAATGTTAGTCTGGGCTACATGGGAAGATCCTGCCTAGTAAATACACAGATAAAAAGAGAAAGAGCGGTAAGAAAGAGAGGCTCTGAGGATGTGGCTCCGTCTGTCAGTAGTGTGCTTGTCACACAAGCAAGAGAACCTTGTGATACCAGTGCTGGGGAGGTTAAGGCAGGAGAAAGCCAAGAGATCACAGACAGCCTCGCCAATCTGCAAACTCCAGGTTCAGTGAGACACTGGCTTAAACAGAAGGTGGAGAGTGAGAGGAAGACACCAGATGTTGGCCTCTGGCTTCCAGGGCATAATATTGCTAAAAAAGTATGTACAATTTTTTATGTTAATATTTTCAGTTTTCTTAGGTCTGTGCCTAGAAGTAAAACTCCAGGATCATAAAGTTATTCAACATCTAACTGTTTATGGACTACAAAATCATTTCCTAAGGCGGCTTTACCACTTCACATTTTGAGTGGTGAGGTTAAACCTGAAGATCAAGACATGACCTGGGGGCAGAGATAGCCTAGATGCTAGAAGCAGTTTTTGTTCTAGCAGAGGACCTGGGTTTGAGTCCCAACATCCACAAGGTGGTTCAGAATGCGCTTCAGTTTCAGGGGATCTGGTGCTGTCTTCTGGCCTCCATGGACACTGCACTGTGTCCATATATACATAAAACAGAATAAAATGAAAACAAAGGAACAAAGACATTGTATATGATCTTTTTTTTCTAATCTCCCCTTTCAGTTCCTCTGTTCCTCCATTTTTTAAATTCACACATACAATTCAGCTATTATACCTCTGCCATACTAATTTATAAAAATGAATATTTTTCTTTCAGAACACTATCACATAATTATTTATATGATTTTAAATTTTCTTTTTTTTAACTTTTTTTTTTTAAAAAAAACTTTTTAATGTGCATTGGTGTTTTGCCATGGGTGTTAGGTTCCTTGGAACAGGAGTTAAAGACAGTTGTGAGCTGCCATGTGGGTGCTGGGAATTGAACCCTGGTCCTCTGGAAGAGCAGAAAATGCTCTTAATTACTGAGCCATCTCTCCAGACCAAATTTTATATATATATCTGCCCCCCTACACAGGTTTCTCTGTGTAGCCTTGAACTCACAGAGATCTGCCTGCCTCTGCCTCTTTAGTGCTGGGATTAAAGGTGTGCACTACCACCACCCAGCGATTTTCAATATATTTTTAAAGATTTATCTTAGTTTTTTAAAAAATTACTTATTGGGCTTGGCTGTGGTGGTGCATGCCTTTAATCCCAACATTCGGGAGGCACAGGCAGGCTGATCCAGATTTGAGGCCAGCCTGGTCTACAACCAGGACAGGCTCCAAAGCTACAAAGAAACCCTGTCTCGACAAACCAAAAAAAAAAAAAGAAAGATTTATTTATTTATTAAGTACACAGTGTTTTAACTGCACACAAGAAGAGGGCACCAGATCTCATTATAGATGGTTGTGAGCTGCCATGTGATTGCTGGGAACTGAATTCAGGACACACAACCAACACACACACACACACACACACACACACACACACACACACACACCCCGCATGCGCACGCACGCATGCACACAAGAGCCAGCCTGTGCTCTTAACCTGAACTATCTCCCCAGCCCTAATTTATTTCTTTTTTTATATGCACTGGTGTTTTGCCTGTAGGTCTATCTGTGAGAAGTGTGTCAAATCTGGAGTTACAGACAGTGTTGAGTTGTACGTGGGTTCTGGGATTTGAACCTAGGTCCTCTGAAGAGAAGTCAGTGCCCTTAACAGCTGAGCCATCTCTCCAGTCCCAATATTTATCTTACTTTTAATTATATGTATATATCTGTGTGGGGGTATGTACATGCGAGTATTGGTCCCTAAGGAGGCCGGGCATCAGAGATCCCCTGGCTGAGTTAGTGGCTGTGAGCCACCTGACAAGAGTGATAGAAGCCAGTCTCGGGCCCTCTGCAAGAGCAGAATGTGCTCTTAAGTGCTGAGCCATCTCTCCAAGCCCACATGTTTCAATTAAAAAGAGGGTGTGCAGTGTCAGCCTTATAATCCCCGAATTGTGGGATATGGGGGAATACAGGAACAGGAGAACCAGTGAGCTTGAGCCCCACGTTCAGTGAGTCTGTCCCAAGGGAAGAAGGCCATGTCCTATTCTGGCTTTTGCACATAGGCTCTAGCACAATCATACTACCCTCGATACAACCCACCCGGCCCCCCATGTATCATTTTGAACCAGGCATGGTTATTCACACCTGTAATCCTAATAAGATACTACTGTAAAAACAAAAACAAATCTGGTATGGTAAACTGCTCTGTGATCACAGCATGTGGGAGGTAAAGCCAGGAGGAAAGTTATTTTTGGCTAAACATAATAAATTTAAGACTAGCTTGGGCTACAGTGAGATCCTGTCTCATCTCACCACCCCACAACCACCACCACCACCAAAAAAAAAAAAAAAAATCCTTGGTAGAGCACATGCCTAGAATATGGCAAGGCCTTGAGTTCTATCCCCATAGCACAAAAACAAAATCCAAGAGTGTTTGCCTAGCAAACATGTTAAAGTTATTTTTATTATGTTCACCCTCACTACCACACAGAGGTAAAACTTACCATCTTACTCATTTTTAACATTTCAATAGTATTAAATACACCTACAATATATTACCAGCACTATCATCCACTCCAAAATCTGTTTTCATCTTATAAATCTGACACAGTGTAGACATTAAGTCATAACTTTCCATTCCAAAACTGTTCCAGCTCCTGGCAATTACCAAGAGCCATGACTCTGGGTATTCTAAATATCACAGTATCATATAGTATTTTAAAGTAGAATGATACAGCATTTATCCGCTATGACTGGCTTATTTCACTTAACATAATGTCCTAAAGGCTTGTTGCTCTAGTTTCTTTCTTTTTCTTTTTTCTTTTCTTTCTTTCTTTCTTTTTTTTTTTTGCCTGGCAAGTATCATGACCAAAAGCCATTGGAAGTGGGCATGGTGGCAAACAACTTCAGATCCCAGCAGGCAGACAGATCTTCATTAGTTAGAAGCCAGATTGGTCTACAGAGTTTCAGGATAGCCAGAGCTACAGGTAAAGACACTGTCTCAAAAAAATGAATGAATAAATAAATAAAAAGCCATGGATGGGAGATAGTTTATGTTATAATTCCAGTCCAACACTGAAGGAAGTCAGAGCAGGAACTTAAAGCTGGAACCTGAATTCCTGGAGTTCTGATTGCTTGCCACCCTGTGCATTAATTGCCTCTGACCAGGGAGCTCACTGGCAAAAGTACAGCAGGAAGCATGGAAGATGCTACTTGCTAGCTAACTCATACACAAGCTCATGCTTAGGTAGTTTTCTTATTCAGCCCAGAAACACCTGACAAAAGATAGTGCAGTCCACAGACCTATGCCATTTAGTAAGCAAAACCATCTCGCACAGACCAACCTGACAGATAAAGACAATCACAATCACTCAACCGAGACTCCCTTTCCAGGTGACTCTAGGTCACAGCATGTTGACAACTAATGCTAACTAGGTCTGCATATTTCAGAATTTTCTTCTTTTGAAGATTACATAAGGGCTGCAGAGATGGCTCAGAGGTTAAGAGCACTGGCTGCTCTTCCAAAGGTCCTGAGTTCAATTCCCAGCAACCACATGGCAACTCACAACCATCTATAATAGAATTGGATGCCCTCTTCTGGCATGCAGAGCACTATACACAAAATATAAATAAAATTTTTTAAAAAGATTACATAATACAGCATAATATGATAATTTTTTCTTATCCATTTAAACACTGATATGCATGCTTGAGTTGCTTCTGTGTTTTAACTCTATTAAACAATGCTACTATAAACACAGGTATCAATTCTCCTAAGCACATACTGAGGAGTGAAGTGGCTAGACCATATAATTCTAAATGACAGGGCTTCTCTGTGTAGCTCTGGCTGTTCTGGAACACGATCTGTACACCCAGCTGGCCTCGAACTCAGAGATCCACCTCATGTGCTACCACTGCCTGGTTCTAAATTCCATTAAGGACTATATAACTGTACATTCCCACTAATTCTTCAAAGGAGTCCTCACCAATTCTTTTCATTATCTGCCTTTTTTTCTTGTTTGTTGTTATTTAGCACTTTTGTTTTGATTTATTCCCAAGGTAGCCAGACTGAGTGAAAACAGTTGAGGATGACCTTCAACTCCAGATCTTTTTGTTTGTTTTTTGAGACAGGGTTTCTCTGTGTTGTTTTCATGCTTGTCCTGGATCTCGCTCTATAGACCAGGCTGGCCTTGAACTCACAGAGATCCACCTGCCTCTGCCTCCCAGTGTTAGTATTAAAGGCGTGTGCCACCACTGCCTGGCTCAACTCCAGAGACCTTATCAAGATCTTATTTTACCAAGGGATGGGGCTACAGGCACCAACCAGATTAGTTCTTTGTTTTCTTTGATATTTATTTCTATTTTAAGTTTTGCCTATGCACTGTGTGCATGCAGAGCCAATGAGGGGGGTTACAGTGAGCTGCCTTGTGGAATGAAATCTGGGTTTCCTGAGCAGTCAGTGCTTTTAACCACTGAACCATCTCCAGGCACCATACATTTTTCTCTAGCCAGATTTCCTTTTTGAGGATTGTCTCACTATATTGTTCAAGCCAGTCTAAAACTCAGTTATCATCCTTCCAAGTGCTGGATTACTGGTGCTTTGCTGTTTTTTTGTTTTTTTAAACATTTAAGTTTTTTTTTAAGCTGTATTTATCTTTTTTATTTTTTTATTTTTTTGAATGCCGTTTATTGGAGGGAGGAGGTCTTGAATACAGGCTTACAGCACAATAAGAGAACCCCAGAGGGCAGAAGTTTGCTACAGATGTTTTCCAATCTTGCATCTAAACTGTTAATGCCCATTATGCAGGATTCACAGATAAGGAACTTCCCTTAAGATTTCAGGAGGGTGGAACCCCGCAGGGACTTAGCATAGGCAGGACATCAAGGTCAAGGTCAGCAAGCAAGGCAACAGCTACTAAAGAATTTGTCCCTGAGCTTGAAAAATCTTAGAAATTTTGAGTGAAATGTCTTGTTTTTCAAATAAAGCTGTTTTCACTAACAAGGCACCTTAGGATGGGCCTACCAAACCTCAGGTTAGGGTTGGTCACCAGAGAGTCCAAGTACTTATCACTGCAAAGTTCAGCCCACCCTTGTAAAAGAGATGTTGGTCAGAGAGGAAGTTCCATAACAAGCTTAAAAACATTTTCAATGGCATTTATTTGTTCTTCTCTTCCGGGTGAAATACCTGTGAGGCATATGTGTGTAAGTCAGAGGATAACTTGTGGGAGTCAGTTCTTTTCTCCTACTATGTGGGTCCCCAGGATCACCCTTGGCAGCAAGTACCAACCATTCTTAAAAACTCTTAAATCAGGGCCAGCGGTGGTGGTGCACGCCTTTAGTCCCAGCACTCGGGAGGCAGAGCCAGGCGGATGTCTGTGAGTTCGAGGCCATCCTGGGCTACCAAGTGAGTTCCAGGAAAAGGCGCAAAGCTACACAGAGAAACCCTGTCTCGAAAAAAAAAAAAAAAAAAACAAAAACAAAAACAAAAAACAAAAAACTCTTAAATCAGATTTGATGGCTTTCCAATTTATTCAGTACCAATTGAAATGCTACTATAATAAGGTCAAAATGGCTCTGAGTAATAACATTTGCAGTACAGCAAGTGTGCAGACCTTAGATTAGAATTCAACACCCAGAACGCACAAAGGTAGGACAGGACTGACTCCACCTACTCACTATGACATGAATACACCCAACAATTAATTGTTTAAAAAAGAAAGACAAGGAGGCAACAATGGAAATAAGTGAAAACATGTGATATTATAATCAGAACTTTGGGCTGAGAAATGGCTCAATGGGTTAAAATTTGTACTATGCAAGTATGAGGACCTGACTTCACATTCCTAGTACTCATGTAAAAGCCAGGCAATCCAGAAAGCTTCTCTGACCCATCACTGGGGGTGTAGACACAGGTAGAATGTTGCGAAGCTTGCTGGCCAGCCAGTCTAGCCAGAGCAGCAAGCTCCAGGTTTGATGAGACACTTTGTCTCAAAATATAATATGGTAGCCTGGCAGTGGTGGTGGTGCTCTCCTTTAATCCCAGCACTCGGGAGGCAGAACCAGGCGGATCTCTGTGAGTTCAAGGCCAGTCTGGTCTATAGAGTAAGATCCAGGACAGGCACCAAAACTACAGAGAAACCCTGTCTCAAAAAACCATTATTTACACATATAAGTATCTTTATAAAATATGGTAATAGAAGACACCTGATTTTAACTTCAGGTGTACATGCCTTCATGCACATGTGTACGCCTTCATGCAAGTGTATATACAAGTGCAGGCTCATGTGTACACACACACACACACACACACACACACACACCCCTCCCCCCCACACACACTCAGAATTTCTGCTGGAAAAATTAGACATAATCTCTAGAAATATAACAGCCATTATGTTTATACACTAAGCAACACACCGATCAAATACATGGAGCAAAAATCCCTCCAGGGATAGTGAGATGGCTCAGTGGGTAAGGGTGTTTGCAACCAGGCCTGATGACATGAGTGAGACCCCTGTCACCCTCATGGTGGAGAGAACCTTCCCACAAGTTGTTCTCCGGCCTTCACACATAAACACACAAACTCGTGCACAAATACACTAATAAGAGATAGAGTAAAGGTAAACATAATAATAAATCCCTAAGGTTATTTAAAACAGAGTATCTAATTTTTTATTTATTTATTTATTTATTTTGAGACAGGTTCTCACTATGGAATTCACTCTGAAGACCAGGCTGGTCTTGAACTCAAAGATCCACCAGCCTCTGCCTCCCAAGTGCTGGGATTAAAGGCGTGTGACACTACCCTGGCCTTCAATATCTGCTCTTAATATCATCTTAAATTACCTTTAAATGACTGGCAATACTAATGGGGGAAGGAGCTGAAAGTCCTTAAAATTAGAAAGACTATAAAATGGTTTTTTAGGTTTTTTTTGTTTTTTTTGTTTTTCGAGACAGGGTTTCTCTGTGTAGCTTTGCGCCTTTCCTGGAACTCACTTGGTAGCCCAGGCTGGCCTTGAACTCACAGAGATCCGCCTGGCTCTGCCTCCCGAGTGCTGGGATTAAAGGCGTGCACCACCACCGCCCGGCTGTAAAATGGTTTTTTAACTCTGCATTTTATTCAAATATATGTGAACCAAAGTGGAAGCAACATTTAAATTGTAATTCTGTTATGACTTCTATTAATTCTTGACTGAGACATTTACTTTTACTAACAATACATGACCATTGCGTTGTTTTTCAAAGTAGTAGTGATTCACACTCATCCCTTCTCTTGTGACGAAAGACATAAAGGACACCATTAGAAGAAATTGCCTGTGCAGCCTACACTAGCCTTCAGAAGACTTCCCTAATAAGTTGGTCCACATGAACTCTACAATTAAAAACAGAGAGTTATTTAAAATGAATTTGAAATAATTTAATGACTTACAAGCCTTTAAAAGATTTAAACTCAGGCTTTAGTGGTTGGGTATGGTGGTTCACACCTATAATCCCAGTATTCAGGAGGCAGAGTAAGAGGTTCAGGAGTTCAAGGTCATCCCCAGCTAGAAGGCCAGCCTAGGCAGTATAAAAACCCTGTCTCAAATCCAACAACAGCAAAAAGATAAAAATAAAAAGTACTATTTGGCTGAGCGTGATGTTGCAGGCCAACAATGGGGAGGCAGAGGCAAGAGGACTGGTCTTGCAGTTCAATGCTATCCTGGTCTACAATAGTGAGTGCCAAGTCAGCCAGATATAATACATAATGAGACCCTGTCTCAAAATGCACAGGCCCTTACAGAGGTATTATCAGTTAGGAATACAGCTCTGTAGACTAACCTAGCAGTAGACTGAGCAAATTGCTAGGTTAAATCTGTATGTGTGTCTGTGTATAAATACATACATGTAGTATGTATGTATATATACATAATTAATCAAGAGGATTCCAAGAGCCAGACATGGTGGCATATGCTTCATAATCTCAGAATTTATGACTCTGGGGATGGAGGAGCAGTAATTCAAAGCCAACCAAGGCTACATAGCTGGACCCTGTTTCAACTCTCCCAACCTAGGCCTGGTGACAGCCTGGGTCGGTATTCCCAGCTACTGAGGAGGTTGAGGTAGGAGAGTAACAAACCCAGGAGCGAGCGACGTAATACCGTTCACTGGGGAGCGAGAAAAGGGGGCAAAACGAAATGTTAAGGTTGAATTGAGCAGATTGACTGGGACCTAAGTGACTGACTGGGGAATTGAAAACTGACATGTGTTAGTAATGAGCCCACCAAGGTACTTAGCCACTTACCCAGAGATTTATTTAATGAGAATGGGTCTCAGGTTTCCACCGGTCGTTCCACTGCCAGTAAGAAGACTGTCGTGAACTTTGGGTCCCTTTTTCACTAGTCAACAGTCACCCTCACCTACACGCGGAGTACATATTTGGCACTGAAATTTTTTTTTTTGATTGAATGAAAACCTACCTTACTCATCTTGGTCACCCCCGAGAACCCTACAAATGATCCCCAACAGACCTTCTTGACTTAACCCCAAGAACTAAGAAAGTAGCAAGGAAGTTTCGGGGGCTTTCGGCAACGGTTGGGACCTCTCAAGAACCAACAGGGTCTACACCAACCCAACTCCCCGTGGAAAACTTAGTAAGGGGGCTAGGGAGCTGAACCTCGCCTGGTCAGCTTGGGCGTCCACAAGGAGGTAGCCAAGAGGACGCAGATCAGTGACCTCCCGCTCGGGGGCGCTGAAAGGCCCGGGGGTAATTACCCCCCGAAGTGAGTACCTGGGAAGCTACGGCACAGAGAGTGGCTCCGGGCTCTCATTCCGGAGGCCGGGGCCTGCAGCCGGCCAACCGCACCTCCCGGCTGAGGGTTCCGCGCTCCGGGGCGGTACTGACAGCACGGGTCGCAGAGAGATACCTCACGCTTCACGAGGCTCCTGGCTCCAGGAACGGAGCAAATGGTCGGACCGACGTCGACTGGTGAATTTCCTCGGAGCTTCTCCTTCACGCGTCAAGCGATCTCTCCCGCCCTAAGCCAGCCACCAGTCGCTCCCCGGCGCCGCCATCCTTCGTGTTTGTTTTCATCCGCTTCGGTGCAGGCGGTGGGGAGAGACAGCGCTCCGTGGGAAATGCAGCTGTGAAACTTCAGTTGCACTTTCGCTACACCGCAGCCGCCCTATTGAGTCCTCCGGTCGCTCAGGGTCACCATGAAAGTTGGTTTCCCTCCGCAAATAAATCTTCTGCTCAATTTTAAAGCCCGTTGAGAGAAGAGGAAAGGGTACGGGAGGAGACTTTGGGAGCGCGAGACCCTGTGGGCTTCGTGCGGAAAGTTCGGC